AGGAGTCTCCGCTGTCAGAGCTAAGGCACAGCATAATGTCTGGCTGACCTTGGAGGACTTGAGTTCACATGGGTAAAGCCAGCTCCTGATTCAGGGCTCTGTGCACAGCAGCTCCCGGCCCTCAGCTGTCAGAGAGCTTTTCCACTTGAAGCAGAGTAAAGGCCTGCGTCTGACTAAGGCGTCCTAAGGGAAGCAGGCGTGAAAAAGAGTCTGTTCCAGACTCTCCATGGAGCCAAAGGCTGCACTGTCAGTACACACCAGTAATGAGACTTCAGATCTTATCCCCACAGGGCTGGGAATATAGCTCAGTAGCAGAGCACTTGCCTGGCATGCCTGGTCAGGCCCTAGGTTCAATCCCTGGTACCACCGAAAAAGAAGGAAACAAAACAAGAACAAAAAAAATGTCCCTCAAGGCTCTTCCTGGCTCATCCTGTAACTGGAGCCTCGCTCTCCATAGCTTCCAGGAGACCTCACATCTACTGAGGGGGGGGGGGGGTCGGCCCTCCTAGCAAACATTAGGGAAGTGTAACTTATCAGCATCAACCCAGGGAAGCCGGAATAGGGGGCGGTGCTTGGGTTTGTACCCTGGCCAGGTGGTCTCCACAGCTCCTGATTTGCATTCTTTTCTACCCTCAGCCACTTGGCCTGGGGCTGCTGGGTCACAGCAAAGCTAGCAATGAGCAAGCAGAACTGGCCTGAGCCACCAGGTTCAGGCTGACATCACTCTCCAGCCCACCAGCATTCCATCCAGCTAGCATGGAGTCAGGGGGTAAGGGGCTGGAGGTCTGATCAAAAGGGCAGCAGGAGGCCATGGGGCCAGCAGTGGAGGTGGAACCAGAATTTAAAGCACGCAGGGTCAGGGGTCAAACAAGCCACATCAATCAAAGAGTTAAGTCACTTCACAGAAGAGAGTGCCTGGGAGCCCCTGGAGGAGGCGGCTTCTGTCTCCTGTGGTCTGGGAGTCCAGGGATAGGCAAGGATAAGATAATAGCTAAGACTGAGGTGGCCCCAGTGTGTGCCTGGGACTGCTGGGAGAACTTTAATACGTTATGCTATTGTCATAGCACCCATTTTACAGGGGGGAAGATGGCAGCCCAGCGGTGGAGGGCCTTGTTGGAAGCTCGGGACCAAGGCTGGGACTCGGGAGCCCTGGAGAGCTGTCAGCTCTGTTCTCCTCACACATGCTGCTGATGTGGGAGTAGACAGGACTCCATTGTGGGATACAGTCTGTATCCCAGGGGCAAATGCCTTCTTTGTTTATCTTCCTGGAAATGACAGGCTGTGGAGAAACTGTTTCAGGAGAAAAATCGTGTTCAGTAACTGCAAATCCGCCACTCGCTGATACCATCAGCAACTTTCCAACGAGGTAGCTCCCAGGAGTGGCTGCAGGCCTGGGCAGCAGAAATTAATCATCTCTCTCATTATTTCACCTCAAAGAGAATGATCACAAAGTCAAGGCCCACGTCCATCTCCACGGTAGTCAGACACGTGGCTGTGTCCCTGCTACAAATCAAAGGAGATGCCCAGCTTTCATCAGATGCCTGCAGATAATTCCCCTGCCATTTCCCCCTGGGACTCAGAGGGCCATGGCCTAAAGGGTTAACATCTCATTTCCTCCTGTCTTTCAAGCCTTAATCCCCATCCTGAGCTGGGCACATTCCAAGCCCACCTGGAGCAGGTCAAGACCAGCCCCCAGCCCATGGCTGGTCCTTCATTTCCCCTGGCAGGAGATTAGATGAGGCACCATTAATCACTCATTACCTCTGACTTCCCTGCTGGCCAGACCTCGGGCAGCCTGCCAAGGGCCTGGGAAGGTGCTTGTGAGCTGTCCAGTGCCACCCTTCCAGGCACAAGACACAGTGGCACAAGCCTGGCTCAGGACTCCATGGACCACACCCGGGCAGAGGAGAACTGCCTGGCCTCCACCTCAAGTATACTGGAGGCTCCAGAGACAGACCACAGCATCCTCTGCTTAGCTGAAAGATGAGGGAAAGAAAGAGGAACGAACTAAGAGTGGCAGCTTTCCCCAAGACCAGGGGCCATAACCACTGCCTACCCAGTGCTGTGCTCTTCAGGGAACCCAGGGGGAACCTGGACAGGAAGTGGAGAAAGACAAGCTGTTTGCTGGAGGACTCCATAGTACAGCTGTGTGTTCAATGGCTGGGCTTCAGTATGGGGCCTAACAGTCCTTCAGACAAAACTCTGCACCTGACTGGAAGAAAACTATATGCAAGTTTGTTTGTTTAGTAAGTACCCACTTCCGTCAAGCACTGATTCGTTAGAGTGGACAGCAGAGAGGGGAAGTAACACTGTATCAACACTTTGCTAAGGGGCTTTATCCCATGGTTACATGTGAAGATGGGGCTGGGAGGTGGGCAGACAGAAAGTGTTGTTAAATGAGTCTGACAGCGCCACTCTAGGGAAGGAGAGTGGCTGTGGCTAGCCTGGCCTCTACTTTCAGGTAGGGCGAGAATGAAGTTTCAAAGACTTCATTCAAAGGCCCTTAAAAAAAAAAGTGGGGGCTCTCCTGAAATCAAAATTCTCCACTACTCACTCCTTAAGGTCAGAGTTAAGGCCTCTGCTTAAAAACAAAAACAAGCATAGTGATACATGTTTATAACATCAGTGCTGGGGCAGACAAGCACAGGCGCATCCCTGGTACTCAGACTGACATCCTATGGCCTTCATAACCGTGTATGGACTCTCACTAAAGTCTCATTCCTGGTTCAAAAGGCAGCGTGGGCCTGAGGTCTCCCAAGCTATATGTGCTTAATAGTCAATTTCTCCCTCATCTGTGTCTGCACATGGATATTCTCTCTCCCTTCCTCCCTCCCTTTCTCTTTCTTTCTCTCCTTCCCTCCCTCCCTGCATTGTTTTGCCCGATACCCTCAACCCCCCTCACCCTACTTGCCCTTCCCTTCTTTCTCCCTGGGTGGTCATTTATCAGCTACTCTCCTTGCAGGCCCTGGAGGGCAGTGATGCTGTCTTGTTCAGTATAAGGCCTGAGCACACAGTAATGGTCCCTGGCACACAACAAATGTTCAGAAGTATTTGCTGGAGAAAAATTAAATGGAAGTGAATACTGGAGAGCCATTGCGAGTTCTCACGAGGAATGATGTCGGGAAGTCAGAATTTCAGGAATAATGATCTGTCAGCATGAAAGAAGATGGATTAAAATGAAGAGAGCCACTCATGGCTTCGGGTCAGGAAGGAAGATTGTTACTGCGATTTGGACATGGTTTAAGGTAGGGGCAGGAAAATAATTTGAGATATCACAGAAGAATATGGAAAGGGCCTTGTGAAAAATGGGCAATGCATGTAGGGAATGGGACAAGGATGCTGGCGTGGGGAGGAGGTGCACCTGAACACGGGTGCCAATAGTCAATAGGGATAAAAATGATGCCAGGAGAGCAGTGTGAAGGGTAGAGAAGGAAAGAGCCATGCCCAGACTCAGTAGGTAACAGACAAGGTTGCTAAGCAAAACCAAAAACTTCAAGCCCTGATCTTCCTCCAAAACTGTTTTCTGCTTTCCTTCTTCACATGCCTAGAGCGACTTCCTTGTGGCACGGAGGAGTAAGAGTGAGACCAGACCAGTACCCGACCCTGGGCTGGGCGTGGAGGTCACGCAGCACAGTCATCCCCATGACTCGAATGCAATCACTGGGTCAGTGGTGGCTCTTCATAGTCTCATCACCCAAACTCATTTTCCAGGCTGGACCTCTGGGACTTCCCTGCTCCAGCCGTGGAGGCTTAGAGGAAAGTCCCGGGACTCTCATCTGCTTCCTCACATTAATTTCCGGGGCAGGACTGTGTTTTCCAAAGGAATTCAACTATGGTGCCAACAAAAATCTATAGGAATTGAGTAGGGCTACCACCTAAATCACATTTTTAAAATGTTTGCTCTTTTGTGCACAGACACCAGTTAAGATTCTCTCCCGTCCTGCAACGGCAGCATTTCCATCTCTACCAGGTCAGGACTTCAAAGACTTGCAAGATGACACTAAGAAGGGCAAGATCTCAGCTGATGTCCAGGTGTCTCGGATGCAAAGGACCCTGGAGATGATACTTTCTGTGAGTTCTGGGCTAGTTCACTTACTCCAAATTCTAATGAGCTTCAGCTCCCCAGATCCTAGGCTTCAATTCACCTTCTGCCTGCAAAAGGGCGAGACACTGTCTGGCAAAGGGTGCACTTTTTAACAGCACGGAATGCTGCTGGGCTGCTTAAAATCTCCCTAGACCCATAATTCCACAGGAAAGTGGGCTCCTCCAAACCCTCTTCCCACGACACAGCGAAAAGTGTTTCTAAGAAAAATGTAACTTCGGTTCCAAGTCTTTCCCACCCTCAACTGATGGACAGCTAACTGCAGTCACGGTCAGGGCCACACGCAGGTACACGAGCTGCACTTGAACAGAAGAGCAACAGGTCCACCTGGGCTAGCGATGACTATCCTGCCCCGGGCACCGCAGAGGCTTTCCAGAAGCTAGAATGCTGGAGGCCCAGGCGGGGGCTCGGGAGATGCTGACTCTCCACCGTCCCAGGACGGCAAAAGGGGCAGCGCCGGCACAGGGGCGCAAGTGCAGCGCGGAGACTCAGAGTGCCACCCTGGTTTGAGCACACCTCAGGAGGGCCAGCTCCCGCTTCCCCCAGCCCCCGGTGGCCGGGCCCGGAGTGGAGTCAGGGCTGGAGAGGAAGGGCAGAGCAGGCCTCCAGGAAAGGGGAAGGGAAAAGAAAGAGGAGGGGAGGGGAAGGTGCGCAGGAAAAAGAAGAGGTAAAGGGGAAAGATGAAAAGGGAAAGAGGAAGGGAAGCGAGAGGGGAGGGGAAGGGAAGAGGGGGAAACAGAAGAGGAAAAGAAGAAGGGAAGTAGGAAAGGAAGAGGAAACAGGAGGAAGGAGAAAGGGAAGAGAAGGAAGGCTGCGGCGGGCCCGACCTAGCCAGGCGCGCCAGCCCGCGGGCTGCCGGCTCCGGACCGTGGCGGGCCGGGCTGCGCCGTCTGCTCACCTGGACTGGTCCGGAGCGGCCGCGGCTTCAGCCCCGCGTGCTTCCCGAGCGCTGCCGCATGGACGGACGGCCGCCCCGCACGGGCTCCCGCGGCGCCCCGCTACGTCGGTGCGCGGGCGGCCAGCGAGTGCCCAGCGCGCTCGGTCAGGCGCGGAGTCTGCGGACGGAGAGCGGGGTCCGCGCGCCCTGCCCTCCCGCGCGGCCTCCCGCTGTCACCTCCAGCCGCCCCTGCCGCCCCCTGGTGGCCGCCTAGGGGAGAGCTGGCCCCGGCCCACCTCACCACCCGGGGATTGGGGGCCCTCTAAATCCGTGATCCCGAGGGACCCCTGGAGAAGGGACATCCACCAGGAGACGCAGGAGAGGGGAGGACTGTCTGACAGGCTAGAGGGCTGGAGAGTGGTGATCATGGAACTGCGTCCCCAAAAGGAGAGCAAAGGGGAAGGCAGTGGAGACTAGGGCCTCCTTCAGCTTCCTTCAAAGGCTTCCTTCAGCCCAGCCAGCATCACTGAGAGCGGCAAGGACAGCCTTGAGTATTGAAGAGCAGCCACTTTGGCGTTGAGGCTGGTTTACAGTGAAGCCTTCCTTTCCGGCCTCCAGGGTTGAAGGGCATTCCTAAGAGAAAACCTCCCGGCGAACCTGGACACCGCATGCCCTCCTGATCTAAGGTCCTCAGGCGTGGCCTCAAGCACCTTTGCCTGCGAAGCCATCGTGCTGGTCTCACTCCCAGTTTCTTGAGTCCAGACACGATGCTAAATTGTTTAAATTAAACCCAGGTGTCTAGAGCTGAGAGAAGGAAGCACGAGCGAGAAAATGCCTCCCCCACCTCAGCCCCCGCTTCCAGAGAGGGCAGGGTGACCTCAAACAACTGGGGAGGCCCCCAAGCTCAGGAGTCTCTCTCCCTTGACGTGAATGAGCCCGTTTGTTTACGGCTGCTTCAAGAGCCTGCCCGCCTGGGTGTTTGCAAAGGTGCACGTGTGTGCACGTGGGTGCTGGCAGAGAGCAAGCACCGCACCCCAGAGTCAGGCCACATCAGGGGTGGGCGCGGAAAGACACCCGCCATTCAAAAAAATAACAAGGAAAGCTGGGAAACACAAGAGATGAGGCCAAAGGGGAGAACCAAGTTCCAGTGCCTGGCACCTGGATACAGCCGGGGCTGACTGAGTTCATCGGGTTCAGACAAACAAATTTTGAGGACAGGCATCTGGTGTGAGTGTGCGTGGCTAGAAGAACCTAGGTGTCTCAGGTTCAGATACAGAGAATTGACTAGATCTCACAAACTCTACCTCATTTCATCCATTTAAAGACTGTGGCCAGGCGGTGGCCAGGCGGTGGCCAGGCGGTGGCCCACACCTGCAGTCCCAACTCTTTGATGCAGAAGGCAAGAGGATGGGGCCAAATTCATCCCTACCTCCACATGTGGCCAGCCATGAAACTATGTTTCAAACAGAGTAGTACGGTTCATAATCCCAGGTACTCGGAGGCTAAGGTAAGGGGATTTTGAAAGTTCAAATCCAACCTGGGAAATTTAGGGGGATCCTATCTCAAAGCAAAGAGCATAAGCTTGGCTGGGGGTGTGGTGGAGGGCGAAATGCCTGCCTGTCAGGCACGAGGCCCTGGTCAACCCCAGCACCACCAGAAATAAAGAATTCTTAAAGGTCAGTGGGTACTTATTAAACAGAATGTGGTAGGAACAGAGCACAAGAAGAAAGGACACGAGTTTCTTTATTGTTCTACTTTTGAAGAAATGCTGGGCTTAAAGCTGCAAAGATAATAAAGAGAATAAGTAATACCGGTCTATCCCTCCCCTTTGCCTTCCCGTCCTTTCCCCTCCCCCTCCCTCTCCAATGTTAATGTGTTACACAACCAGAGTGCGCTGTGAGTGAGCAGACTCACCTCACCCGCTTACAAAGTGTTCAGTGTTTAACACAGTTTTCTTTTCTTTCATCTATTGTTACTATTAGTCCAATTTATTCACTTTGTATCCCGGCTGTAGCCCAGTTCCACCCTCCCTCCATCTTCTCCCCCTAGTCCCCTCCCCTAGTCCACTGATAGGGGAGGTTCTACTCCCCTACTATCTGACCCTAGCCTAGGAGACCAACAGAGCCAAAAAATCTGGGCCAGGGGGCCTTCAGAAACTGATGCAGCAACCAAGGACCATGCATGGAGAGGACCTAGACCCCCCCAGATGTAGCCCATAGGCAGCTCAGTCTCCATGTGGGGTCCCTAGTAAGGGAAGCAGGGGCAGTCACTGACAGAGACAACTCTAAACACATCTTGCTTGTGTCACAGAATGTTCTCTGTGTTCAACCAAAACTAGTCAAAGGGTTGGAGAGATGGATGGTTCAGCAGACAAAAGTGCTTGTTGCTCTTCCGCAGGCCAGAGCTCTGTTCCCAGCACCCACCCTGGGCAGCTCACAACCACCTGTAACCTGAGCGTCTGGGGCTCTGATGCCCTCTCCTGGCCTCTGTGGGCTCTGCCCTACACTGCAGTCACTCACCCAGACACACACACATAGATCTGTAAAACAAGCGACAGTCATTATAAGCTGAATTATTTCTATAAGAGCACTTTAAACATTTATGCTGAAGTGGGATACCTCCCATTTTCCCATCTAGTGTTTACTGTCAGTCCTGTTATGCATCCTGCTATTAACTCGTGTACATATGTATGTATCTAAGAATGTGTGTATGTATGTGTGTATGAGTCAGATGGGGAGGATTTTGTCCTCATGTATAAAATAAGCTACTTACCCTTATCCAAAGCCTGGGTAAAGAAGGGCCTGTGAGCTGACTATAGTCACTTAGCCTGAGTGTCAACGCCATCTAGATATAACCTCTTGGGTGGCGGGTCATACCGCCCTCACAGAACTGCAGATATATGACTTTTTATGTTCTCAAACAGTGTTGCTCTTGGTTGAGGCTCTCTGACAGAAGGCTCCTTTCAATCCTGAGTTGAAGCCTCTTCCTTGTGGCTACTCCCCATTGGTGTGCTGGTCCCAGAGGTGGGTGGCCCCTAAAATGGTAGAAAAGTATATATAACCCTTCTGTGATGTGTCAGCCCTGACCACGGAGGAGAGCGTCTGTACATAGCCGTCTCTCTAGCATAATTAAGCATTCATCTCGCTCCAGATGGGATGGAAGACGGTGTAGTCAGCCGTGGGAGACGTCCTCTCTTTGAGCCTGCCCTCCTTGGAGAGCTACATGGCACTTCGTTCAATTATGCACCTCCCTGCTGGAGGTTCAGTGATGGAGTGTGGTGGCAGCTCCTAAAAATGTGAAGGGCGCACTGCTAGGTCCCAGAGCCAGCGGAGCAGGAGTCAGAGTGGGGCATGTCCATGCAGAAGGAGAGCGGCATGGGATTCTGGCTCTTCCCGCACTAAGCAGCCCTGAGATGGCCACAGGGGAGGCAGAGGCAGCATAGCCAGTCATTTGGCTGTGAATTGTTTTACCAATACAATGTTCCTGAAGCCAGACCTCAAGCTCTGAACACACCAGCGGTACTGCAGGGTTGTGCCCCAGCAGAGAAGGAAAGCACGGTGCTAGCTGCTTGCACTTGAAGGCGGAAGGAAACCAGACATGCATCCAAGTCCCTCATTCCAACCTTCTGTTGAGTCATGAGGATCCATCATGGTTCTTGTATAGTTCTTTTCTTTTTCTTGCTTGGAAACTTTTAGACACTGTGAAGTCAAGACAGGCTTGCACTCAGGAGATGAATAACAAGAAGACATGGTTTGAAGGTTGGTCTTGTCAACTTGACAGAACCTAGAATTGCCTAGAGACACACCTTTAGTGCGTCTCTTGAGGGGCTTAATTAAGGTAGGAAAACCCAACCTGGATGACTGCATGTGGGTGGCACATTCCATTAGCTATGGCTCTGGACTAGACATAAAGGAGAGAGAAGACAAGACTTTGGCATACTGAGCCAAAGTTGCTTGGTCCGGTATCTTGTCGGGAACAATAAAGTCTCTTCCAGTGCTAATAAATGCATTGTTTTAAACTGTTCCTTGTGGGGCAACGGGACGGTTCTGCAGGGAAAGGAGCTTGCCATGGAGTGTGGTGACCCGGGTTTGACCCCCAGTGCCCACGGGGTAGCAGGTGAGAAGTGACTCAGAAGCTGTCCTCTGCCTGCCGCAGACACTGTGGTAGCGTCTGCTCCCTACCATAAACTATAAAGGTGCAATTAAAAATGAACTATCCATAAACTGGAGCTAAGTATTTCGGGATAACTTTTCCTTCTTGCTTGCCTCCTTAGCTCACTCTTCTCCCTCCTCCTCCAGGGGCCTGCAATAGTGACCTACACACTGAGTCTGTGTCCTTGTCTATGGCTGCGTGTGGACCCGAAACACTGCTCCGAGACAGACTAGGCCAGAGACTAATTTGTCTGCGGCCACAGTCTCTGAGGTCGCAGGGGTCAAGGTACTCAGATGGACTGTCAGGGAACTGTGTCTGAGGCTTCAAGCACACCTCCGGTTATCTTGCTCTGCCCTTTCTATTTCCAGCTTTCTCTCTTCCCCTCTTGCCCACATCCTGTCAGCAGAGATAGCAAAGTGGCTTTACCTGGCACAGCACAACTTTTGGAATTCCAAGCATTCTGATTATTCCTCTTTTTCCCGATTTCAGCCAGGAGGCAGCCTTTCATCTGAAGTTGCTTCTCACTAAGAGTGGCAGTGCTGGGAGGAAACAGGAAGGAAGCATGAGCCAGGTGACCCAAGTAAAGGGGGCAGACGAGAAAGGTCTGCTCTAGAAAGGAAGCCACTTATAAAGGGCCAGAGGGAGGCAGAGGCGGCCTGCTGCACCCAGGGCTCAGAGCGCAAGAGAGAAAAGTGGGGGATGTGCGGCAAGGGGTTAGCTGGGATGACCGGGAGGCACCTGCCAGGTGAATGATCACTACCGGGTGAACCACAGAGGCCAGGGCCTCGGTGCATCAGAACCAAGGGAAGCTGCAGGCTGGGACAGGATGTCCCTGCTGTCCGGGATGATGAATTAGGGAGCGCCCCAGTGAAGAAGGGGGCACAGCTTGAGGTGGTAGCTGCAGTCAACAGAGAGAAGAATATGTAGTTTTAAAGAATGGAGAAAGTTGTTCTGTGCAAGCCCATAAGAGATGCTTATGACCATTTCTGAAAGCTAGGCCATTCTCCAACAAATCAAAGGAATCCCAGGGAGGGTGGCCCCTCTGTTGGTTTTTTTAAAAATATA